TACATATATATATATATACACGATATAAGACAATTCACGATAAGACACGAAATTGAATTTTTGTTCTTCAAGATTCAGAGCGACTGTGTCACATAAAGTTTTTTCTACTTCTTTGCTCAGCAAAGGAGCTCTGTTAAGTAAGAAAGGTCTTCTTCCTTCTTCCATTTTCTTTCGGCTTAAATCACTTTTCAAATGATACCCAGGCTTTGTTTTATTCCGCTAATTTGAACCTATTGGAAATCTGTTCCTTCTCGAGGAAGGTTTCTTACTATTATAATATTAGCATTATTAATTTATTGACAACACAATTCGTAAGATTTCTTATGTGTCTATTTTTTTAATTTTTACGTTAACCTTACGTAACTCTTTAAAAAAAATCAAATAAAAATCAAGAGATTCTAACATAAAGAAATTTACATTTCAGAGCGTCAGTTCTACTGTTTATTTGAGGGAAGTTCATAAAGGCGACAAAAATGGTGGTAAAATATAACCGAAGCCGACTATGTTGCACATAGCTGTCAGATCTTAGGACAAAACATTATTTTCTAAAAAAAAGTTACTTTCAGATAGATCGTTCCAAATAACTCGTAAAAGTAAAGAAATTCAATTAACAAAAAAAAACTGATAAGAGAAAGCAAATATATATGAAAGAGTATGCTTAAAATATTTCTTCCTTCGTAATTTGACAACTACTAGTTGTTGCCACGAACTTGACTGACATTTATTTTTGTAAAGACTTTATCATGAATATGCTGCCTTTATGAATATTTTCCTTAAGATTGAATCGCCGTCAACTCTTAGCTGTTACGTTCAGTGTATGACTTACACAGGAGTTACAGGATTATTGAATACGTTTTTGGAACACGGAAATACAGCTGGCAGAATGCGGTCGAATTTAGTAAAGCGCGCTCAAATAGGAATCAAATTTGGCGCCTTATTGTCCAATTGAAAAGAAAGACGGGGCAGCGCGGATCGCAGCGCCACTTTTGCTGCATATGTATCGAGCAGGTAAAAATATAGCATAGTAAAAAGGATAGTAAATAATGAAGCTAATTATCGTTGATATTGTAGATAATTGTTCCTGTTCAGTAAATCACTCGAACGCCTCCATTAGTCTATCATAAGAATTCCGCCTTTACTAATATGACAATTGGTAACTAGAAAATCAATAGTCCACCAGGTGTCGCTTTGAACCTGGCGGGCTGCTCAGGCCTTCCGCTGGGATGGCGTCACTGATGAACGGTTGCGAGATCGTTGTATTACTCGAGTGAACTGTAGTAAAACATTTGTAAAAATGGTGAGTTTTTATATCATCGTTTGGTTTTTTAACCCCTTTCCATATATACGCAGAGACTGCAATGCACCCTCTGCATGAGTTGTGCTAATTGTGTGCACAGAAAAATTCACGTAACATTAGTGAATTTTTTCTCAAAGAAAACACGGTTTAGCTGTCGTTGTGTGTACTGGCTCACTCCAGTCAAAAAACTTGTACCAATCCGTTGCGCTGAACTATTCGCACAGCCTGTCAACAATGAAAGTGCGCGTCAAACGTCAACGAGTATGATTAAGCTCACCCGATAATATGGATATTAGAATCTACTTTACTTAACAATGTCTAGAGATTTGATGTAAATATTTGTTGTGCCAAGTAATTAGCGTGGTGATTAACATGACTGTCAACGAGAAGTGCCTGGCTTAATTTGATGGAAAAGTAATAATAGTGAGCAGAGCTATTTTAATTAGCTGGCATCACTGTCATATTAGGAAGAGTTGTCTTTTCTTTATTAAGACATTTGTAAATCGTGAGTGTGAGAAGAGATTTCACGGTAAAAGTTTCGATGAACTCGATTATTTTGGCGGGCATTTCCATTGGCGCCAAGGAGAAGTCATGCGAGTCAAGGACACCGAAGGCTCTCCACCCTATGCCCTTCTGTCATCCGGAGCAAACCTATTGTCTACATATCGTTACGCCTTAAAAACTGAGCTCGATATTACACTCAAAAAGAATTACTACTGTAAGAAGCCTCATAGAATTTTACTCATAATTGACTCACTCTTTGTCTTGAACTCGTTGTATATGTATATTATGCTTAGCTATTATATACGTTTTTTATATCAGAATATCAACGCACACATTAATTACCTATTAGCAAAAGTTAAAAGCAATGAAGCCATTATTGACGTACTGAATATAGAGCTTGAAATATCTATATATTACATTAGAAAGCAAAAATTAATTCTAATAGCCCGTCGCATTAAGTTGACCTTCTGAGCATGTACACATTCGATATGTCGTTTTCCATAAAGTTTCTGCAGGACGGATTCTAATTAGAAGACTTTATTGATCACGTTGTTTTTTCCAGGCCGGAGGCAAAGCAGGAAAGGATTCTGGGAAGGCGAAAACTAAAGCGATCTCGCGATCTGCTCGTGCTGGTCTTCAGTTTCCGGTCGGTCGTATCCACCGACATCTGAAGACAAGGACCACCGCTCATGGACGGGTCGGAGCCACTGCTGCCGTATACTCGGCTGCCATACTTGAGTACCTCACTGCTGAGGTGCTTGAGTTGGCCGGCAACGCCTCGAAAGATCTTAAGGTGAAGCGTATTACCCCCCGTCACTTGCAGTTGGCCATCAGGGGTGACGAAGAGCTGGATTCGCTGATTAAGGCGACCATCGCCGGTGGTGGTGTTATCCCGCATATTCACAAATCGCTTATCGGCAAAAAAGGCAACCCGCCAGGCCCTCAAGGCCAGGGACCCAAAGCTTCCTAGACGCATCTAATATCAGTAACACCGTGTGGCGGTACAGGTGTCAGCTGACTCCGCCACGATGATGACGCTTGTCTACGAAGTTCAGACCCCCTATTAGTTCTCAGGCAAACGGATAATGTTTCCCAATTCCCAAATAGTTTTCTCGCATCTATTTTCCTTTAGTTTTTGTGTACTATAAGCACACTGCCTCTGACTTGTTGTAAACAAGGCGTAGAAGTAGCATTACGGAAGTATCAGATAATAATAATTATGAACAGCAACACGTATGAATGACGTAAGCATATTTACATGTATACACACTCTATATATCAAAGAAAGCTTTTGTCTACTACGGAATCGTTCGCGGCCTAAGCTGCTAAATTCACCAAAAGGCCTGCTGCGACGCAAGCGAGGCCCACATAAACTTCAACGACCATAGATAGTACTATATACGAGTAATCATTTTCTTCTTTTTCCATAATTAATACTACAACTTACATAAAAATGTGAACAAAATATAGACTTATTTGTATTGAATTTCCATGTGACGCTTTCGAAACAAGCCAATACCATATCGTCAGATCGCATGATGAACTCTATTGTACTTGCAGTTCATTCATTGCGTCGCTTGAATTACAAGCAACTAGAAGATAACAACAAAGCAAAAAAAAGAGATCGCTCAAGTGCAATCAATAAAAAAGAAGTTTACCAGTTCACGTCTGGTATGTTAGTACACGGCGCTTTAATGACGACGCAGATCGCAACCGTCCGAAATGCCCGCGTCCTTAGTGACGCGTTCTGCCGAAAGACTTCGTGACGATCAATACACACATTTAACAAAATTAAATATGCAACACATTGACACAAAAGCGCCCATATACACAAGGCCGAATGTCATGTATGAACTGTTGTCAGCGATAAGATAAGGAAAGTTCGTATATTGTTTTATTGTTAAAAGTCTGAATAACGGATGTTCGTTAATTCAAGGAAAAATATATTATCTATTAATTATTACGTTAGTTACATAAAAACAGCTGCTATCGGATCGAAGGAAGCAGCGGTAGTGGCTCACCAGAAGGGAGTGAATGCAAACAGGCAACAGCGGAAGAACGAAATAAAGAAGGAAGGCAGAAAATTAGGGGGTCGCTGGCTAATAAGAAAACGATTCCGGGTTCCGAAATCCGGGTATATACACAGACATCTGTAGTTCACCTATTTCGCTGGTGTTCTACTCTCATACAATCAATAACAAAAAGCTGAAATAACCAGAATAAGGACCAGACAACTGTGAATTCAACCACTGGTTTAAATTACGTGAAAAAATGAAACAGGAGGAAAAGCTGTGTATTATGTATAAAATAAAACTTAAAAAAATTATAAAAACTACTTGGATTCCATCGTTTTCTTTGCTCTTTCTTTTATTATTCGTCAGAACTAGCTGAATGAATGAAACACAGTCACTGATATCATGGAGAAATAAAAAAGCTGATGATTAATATTATTTCGGCATAAGTTAATTCTAAATACAGATGTCGAAATACTGGAAAGCAGTTTCATAATTGAATTTGGTGTTACTTATTTCCATTTGGTGATAGATAAACACTGCGCTGCATCGCATAGACAAAAGCTGTTTCAGAAATGCCTATAGACATATATGTTAACTAAATTAAAGTGTATCGTATCCTGCCAGTGTTTTGTATAACTCCGCCCTTATATTTCGCATGGACTTGCGAAATAACAAAAAGCTTAGAAGTTGAGTTTACAACTTGTTATCTCATTTGGGCTCAATAGGCGCAAGTGACTAACTCATGTCATGACACTAGTTCTCTATGATTTGCGTACCTAAAAATACAGCAGAATTAGGTTCTTTTTACCATAAAATCGCTTGGCCATATTCACTATGATAGTAAAAGAGCGGAACGAAAGATCATGTCGCCCTACCTCTCTATACTAGATTAGCAGAAGTTTGGAGCCTTACGACGATGTTGACTTTAGTCACATCGCCGCTACATGGTGTCTATTAGTTAACCTAAGGGAGCAGCCAACTGAATGAGCCTGCAGGTACGAGGTGATCAAGCGGCCCGCAATGCCCATAGGTCGTGCAGTCTTATCTGGCGATTGCGGATGTCTCCATCTTTGAATTATCAGCGAAGTCTAAAATCGAAAAATTGAGCTCTGCCATTTGGTATCTGCATTGAACAAAACAAAATCTACTCACCGCTATACTGCGATAATGATTACGTCAAAGTAAACGTCCGTCATTTTGTCACATTTAGTCATCTGAAGGTAATGGTTTTATTGTGTTGATATTTTCGAAAAGTAATTTTTTTAGCGTGACTGCTTTTTACTAACGAATATATATATATATATATATATATATATATATAATCTAATTATACTTTTCGACAGTTTTGCATAGTTATAGGTAGTTCTGCCAAGCTAGCAAGCACCAGAGTTACAACAGAAGGAGTAACGTACAGATTCGACGGAGCTGGCCCTAACCCAAATGAATTATTAGGCCCTGGTTCATATGATTATATAGAGTATATCGCCTAGTCATTTAAAACAGCGATCATGAGGCTTAATGCGTTCTAAAGGTCTTAATTTAACGGTAGTATTAGACGTTAATCGCGTGGGGGAACTATGAATAATTAATTAAACTATCTAACAAGCATCCAAAGAAAGGAAATATGCGAGCATATATTGTTCAAGGCATATTTCGTAACCCTCCTTCTAATCGCACTCGTAATCTTTCAACAGATCGCGACCCAAATAGACAGAGTCATTCATGCATGAAACAAATATCAGCTACTTTTAAAAAGTCGACACAACGGTTAACAAATGAAACAAGATGCTTGATAATGTAATTGACGGGTAAAAATAAAGAAATCGCAAATATGAAAAGATACTTATTGAAACGTTGAAGTGAACAAAAATAAAAACGCTTATATATAACGGACAGCTTGGTTAGTCTTAAGCCTATTAAACTGACCTTGTTAACTGGCTTCTGATTACTATTTTTATTTTTTTAGGTGCTTTGAACCCATTTTAAGTACGTAGGTCCTAGGTAGGCTGAAAGCAATAGGCTATGTGGGCAGCTAAAATTCCACCCTATTATTACTTACGGCCCCTTTTAACAGATTTAGCATTTCTCCAGTTTAAAGAGTTACTAATTGCCGAATTTTCAGCTCAGATCCGTTAAAGCGCCTGTTGATTTTGGTGCGCTGTTCAAATTGAGACAGTTCGAAAGCTATAAAAAGAAAAATATAAGCAGCTTTTATTCTATTATTCTCTTTGCTTGATGTAGATGCCTTGCTATATGGTGCTGGCGTGCCAGTTGTCGTCGTATTTGCCCTGCGGCAACTGAAATACTATGAAGCTGTTTGTATAACACTGCTCAGTGTTCGTTGAAGAAGCATTGCTTAAACAAGATACTGGCATCTCTCAGCAATACTATATCTATGGAACCTTTATTGATTGTGACCACTTGCCATAGCTGTTGTTAACTTGCCATTCATTCTTGTAGATGCAACTTTTGGTTTGTTTCTACTTATTCCGTTGTACATATGTCCAGTGGACTAAATTGGTTTTACTATCACCTAATCAATCCAATGCCTTTCGCTATTAAAACAAACTTTGAACATTTCAAATTTTCTCTAAAACCTTTTCATTTCATCTTTTGCTTAGTTTATTATGTTACATCAAAAACGATTTTTTATTCGGTAATTCAATGCCTTCCACGTGTTTCTCGCATTCCTATATATATATTTTTGATCTATATTTATTCACTGTTTTCAAACGTCTCCTATGATCTATTTCACCCACGTTACAGTTTTTTTTTATTATTATTATTACGATCGCATCTATATAACTAAATCATTACACAAAATACTTTACATCGCCTACCGAGTTGACGTTGCTGCCAATCTTACAAACATCGATTCGGTCAGTCGGAATTATTATAGGCATCATCAAGTTTTACTACATACATGTAGATTTATATGTATTTATTTAACTTACATAAATATAAATGATACTTAAAGATCTGCTATGTATATAATAAACACCATTCATTTAGATAACCTACGCACTTTAATTACTATTTCACTACTACAGGCGATAATAATAATTTATAATTGACATATATATATGTATATATATATATATATATAAAATAAAAATTATAAGAAAATATTCGAACTCATCAAACATTCATTCTCAAACACTCCGTCTTGAATGTTGCATATCATACATAGGGAAGAGTATGAAGCTAGGAAAACCTGTGATTTTCAAATTGTATTAAACTAAGGGATTTAATCATACCGTGAAAAACTGTTAAGAAATTCATAGCCGAGAAGAAAAGGAAGTTGGAATGTTTTAGCAGTTTCCTGGAAAAAAAATGCAAAAAATGCGCACAAAGGAATCGTTTATCTATCTGATATAAGTAAGCTTTCATACTTTGAGTCAATAACAGTTGCTCCAAAAATTTTGCGTCACATTTTTGCCATAGGCAAGCACACATGTTTTGCGCACAGACACGTAATGGTAAAATAAGCGATATCTTTAGAAGAAGTCGTCTACTTTATAGTCAAAGAAAACAAGCATATAATGGACGTAAACGGATTTCGTTATCTTAGTTCGGGTGAACGGAGAGTTGCCTGTAAACATATTTATATGCGATTAAGCTGGACATAGTTTCAAAGGCATAAGTGTTCGCTGAAGTTTGGCAATTCGAACAAAACAGCAATAATTTATTAACCAATAACAATAAAGTGCAGGCGCACAAATAATAGTAATACACAATAATAATAATAACAAAGAATCAGAGAGATAGAGAAGAGAAGTCACAATCTAGCCATACGCTCAGCCCTAAATGGCGCACTTGTGTGCCAGGCATATATGCACACAACCTTTTGTCTCTCTCTCTTTTCTGGTCTCGTTAAGTAATAGATAATGCATACACTCAATAGTTCGTCGCATTCAATTAAAAATAGTAACTAATCATACGGTATTGAAGTGCACATACATCGTTATCCTTTAATATGGTTCACGACAAACCCTGCTGGATTTCACCCTGACTTGTTCCACCAAGCATTACTTTGCCATTGTTATGCTTGTGGTCGCTTTATAATGCCATTACTACTTGGTATTGGTTGTCATTGGTCATCTGTAGATTATCGAGCATAAATGTATTTATTCTTTTATATATATTTTTCTCCTTCCGCTCAGCCGTACGCAACCCCGTTAAAGTTACGGATATTCTGCCACAAATGCGCGAGAATCACTACACTGTTGCACTGAATAGGTTACATCTAGTGACGTGTGGGCTTCTTTGTTACTTCAGGACAATTTATATATATATATATATATATATATATATATATATATATATAGAAACGGACGTATAAATTATATAATTACAATCAATGTGTTTCCGGTTTTGACCGGTTGTAGGTATATAATACCCTTATGCCCGGTTATTTTGCCAGTCTCTAGCTGCTGAACGTCGTGATTGCTCGAAATATGATGGCAGCGGAGGGATTCAAGGAAATATAGACTACCCGATCCGCTTTGTGGAGAGTCTGCATATATATACATACATATACATATAATTGTTTTCTCCTAATTTTATATATATATATATATTATAGTCATATATATCAATAGTTTTATATATATTATAGTCATTTACGATAGTAAGCATATTATTTATCAAACGTAACACGTGTTATCATCTAACCAGTGGTTATACATTCTCTCTTCTTTACGTGATTTCTATGTATATGTATGTGTATTTTGGGCTAAAATAGCCGCTCTTTCCGAACCGCACAAGAGGCAGTTTTATCCAGTTAATAGATCACCCTATAAATAAATGTGGTCGTTTACATATGTATTTATATAATTTGTTAAATTGTATCTATTTGTTTGTATACAAAACTCGGAAAATTGTTCTCTTTTGCATTCGATTTTCCACGTATTCGGGATGAAAAACAAGTCCGTCCTTGAAATTTAATGAAGTTAACGCGTGTGGTATGCGTAGTCTCGTATAGTTTTATTAATATCATAGAATAAACGTACTTGCTGGGTTATCTATAAACGATTCTGCCGTAAAACATTACGAATAACGGAGACGTAAAAGATGTGACTCGGCAAGAAATCTTACGAAGATTATAATGTTTGCTTCCATAGATGAGAAGTTTTAAAACTAAGACAGCCGTTGCGAGGCAAGTGACGTATGGAAGATATATCGATATAATGAACATTGCGTTTGAGGGGCAGTTGGCAATTTTAGCAAATGCACATGTGAGATTCCCGGAAAAGACTTTTAAGATTCTGTCTAAAGACGCAAGGTGTCTGCCAAGTATGCGACAATCCTCCTATACAAATTAGAATCTAGCATAAAGGAATTAAATGTTTTATTCAAAGATATATGAAGAGGAAGACGCTTTGTATCTAGAATGGGAAAAATAAATGGGTCAAAACATATATGAATAAAGTACGCACCATAATCGGCGTAAAGTTGATATTTGTTGGAATTAATCAACTCCACAGAGTTCTAGAGGCTCGCTAGAGATTCATTGAACGTGTGGTGCTTATCGTCGATGAAGCTCATGTCGAAGCGAAAATTAATTAGCAATGTTTTTATTTTGCAAACACGGTCAAAGTATAGTTACAGGTTGGCATTGACTTTCTAAAATTAATCAAGTTCATCAGATATCCGTTTTGTTAACCTACGTTACATTCGTAGTACCTGTTACTCCATTACTTGTGCTTTTGGCTCCTGTGTAAAGACAGTGTTACCATATAGGGTTAACGTTATCACCACGGGATGCTGCGCTATCTATTATAGCTGTCACAACTTTACTTTTTTCTCCAGTTTACATGCTGTTTTTTTATAAACCAGAATAAGGCAGTCACTTGTCTAACTATGACGATATCATGGCATTATGAACCTCCAGCTAACAAACTATGCCACTCACACTGAAAGCCACGACCATTGGCGCCATGTAACTGAGTATCTTCTACACAAGTATTATAGTACTTTCCTATAGCTCATTTCCTTCTACAATGTGTACAGAATTGTTTATTTACAGAACCGAGCTGTCGTCAAACAGCCAGCTTTTATGTTACACAATCCTTAAAGCGCTCTCCTTCCAAGTAATCCAGAGTAAGCCAAGTGCTACAACGGCAAATCGCTTTTGTGATTCTAAACCTACGACGACTTGCGGAATCTGTGGCGGAGCTCGTTTTTGGCAGAGTCATAAGTAGGATTGTTAAGGTATGCAGAATGTTATAGAGGTGCATTTGTGTAAGTCGTCTTTCTTGTAGCAGCCGCTGCCGAGGTGTTGTTGGTGTCCGACTGGAGGACGGCCACGCATCGTGTTCGTCAACGGGTATGCTGATTCAGATCCGCCGTTCATTCGGCGCAGGGTGGGGTAACGAAGAGGGAGAAGGCGGAACTCCGGAGTCCCTCGAGTTCGTGAACGAAGACGTTCGACTCCGTACTGTAGGATGTAGAGGAGAATTTGAACCTGTAGAAGCAAATGGGGGTAGAATTGCATCATAGTGGAAAAACCACAAGATGAACAAGAAAGAAAAAACATACAGATCTTTAATAATTATAAAAAAAAAAAAGTTCACTAAAAGGACGTTATATAATAAGGGATTTAGACAAAAAGAAGCGTGTTTTTGTGTTGAATGTTGCGTGGATGTTAATCACAGTGAAGTCTTCTGAAAAACAAACCAAAAGATACATGCATTCAGCAATAATTTTCAATTGATGACACGAAGAGCTACGCTATATAAAAGAACGTGCTAGAAGCCGGGGTTTTTAGGAACAGTCATATTTGTGCGTGCCACCTTCTGCCATTTAGATGTTCAAAGCTTTTAAGTTGCAGGTTAACTACCAACGATGCTTGCGATACTATGGTTCCATCTAAAGAGAATTGTTGCATGAAGATAACTGTGGTTAGTCTTCCATTAGATATTACCCATCAGTTCACTTAGTTGGCAGTTGTTGACTACCAATTCATCGGTAAAGTAAGTAAATCTTATCAGTTTGTCGCTTCCTGGTCGTATAAGGCATCAATTATGGATAAATTATATTACTTTTCAAACAAGATTGTCAGCTTGAAAATGTCTAAAAACATATATATATATATATATATATATATATATATATATATACTCAGGTGAAAATATCAAAGAAGCATACAATAGTCTTACGCTGGTTACAGTGGTTGCGAGACAACTAATGGACTAAAACGGTTCTTTTACTAGAATACCAATATGGTTTCAAATTGTTAGAGCACACAAAGCATCGAACATCTTCTTCTTAAGACATCTTGCATGAGCCAATGATACGAATAGCTTTGTGTGATACTCGAATCACACATTAACTTCTAGTCCGTTGGTTTAATTTCAAACAGCATAACATAAACTAACTAAAAATATCTATAAATGAAAAAGTTGCCATCATAACTTTTGTATAATGTTTTACATAACACTACGGACCTGCTATGCTAAATAAAACATATTCAAATTGGTTTCTCAAATTCTTTCAAAAATAAAATGTTTGGTTTCCGTGTTGTTCGTGCAAGCACAACCATTCTCTTTTCTCACTGAAAAAACATCTATTGAATGATTCAATGGGCTTTGAACATGTAAGAGTATTGTGCAAAATGAAATATTGAGTAAGCCTTAGAGCTTCAACAGATTCCAGCACCGAACTAATAGCGTGGATCGCGCATTCAATGTGTAGACAAAGAGAGACGCAAGAAACAACTGCCTACTTTAGTTCGATTCATGTTTATTCCTTAATTACCTAATACATCAGAATCCATCCCGTCTCAAGATTGCATTAATTTTTTGACACGTCATTCCAATCTTTTCGCGGCAGTAGCTAAATACGCCCGTGGTATTCATCCACCATTCTACCGCATTCGACAGTCGTGGTAACGCTTACACCTTTCGTGTACCCTAGTTAATATTTCGAACTGTGGTGTCTCGGAACCGAAACAACACACATCAGGAAAAAACAACCCACTAATTCGTTTAATCATGGGTAAGCATAATAAGATGCTACTATTATAAATAATGAACACATTACCCTTTCGAGATATATACACAGACAAATATTTCTGGGATGACCTTACGTCGCAATATTTGTTTTTCTAAGTAATTAGCTCACCTTCTGTATGAGTTATGGGACACTATCACAACAAACAGGGACTTGGTATTATCCAAAGGTGTCTTCATTGCCAGTGTGCTATATATACACGTGAAAATCGATCGGTGTCTAAGTACAGTTAGATACGTAGGATATGATAATCGATGGGCCGACTAGCAGGTCAGTCATTCGTATGTACACATGCGGTAATTGTCAACGGGTGTTATATTGAAATCTAAGGTATTATCGCCAATAAAATGCTCTATAGAAAAGTTATGTACTTATATTCAAGGTTATATGCTTATGGCAGAGTCAATAGCGGACAGTCATGTCAAATACCTTACAAAAACAATCGAAACTCTCGTTTCGAGTAGGAATACACTGTTTCTAGCAAAAACAGTGTGAAAGTCACACCTTGAACGTTAGGTGAATTGCAGCCTCTATGAAATGCTCTTGTTCAACGAAAACGTAATTCTAGCTAATTGCTAAGAGAAGTATTAATGCACTGTACAATTCCTAATCAAAGAAAATAAACTTGCTATAGATCGGCTTCAAGAGAACGCCAAAAAAACGACATATCATCCGTTCATCGACGCCTAGTTACAACGTACCCTCTAAGACATTCTTTTTTCTATCGTAAAAATTAATTCATATCAGGTTATAGTGTAACTACTCGCCAACTAATAATCCATACACATGTTTGAAAACGATAACAATAAAAGTACATACACTAAAATAGAACATTTTCAAACAATATATCAGAATAGGTCGTATACACATCATTACGTACAGGCATGCCATGGAGGGCAAGCGACAGGCGCATTTCGTATTCTACAGTGGAATTGTTCTATGTAATGAATTCTATACAATGTAAATAAAGAGTTTTCCTAAATAGCTTTGTTTTTCCACTTTTCTGTCAGGCTCTGTGCTTGTGGCCAGAGAGACCATAAAGCATTTATACACAAGGGCCAAACACATATCACATGTTCTTGTTGCCCTGATGTGGTCCACTTTGTCTTTTCTTGGGGGGTTGATGAGGGCCCCGGGGACGCTGCCGGTGCGGAATATCCAGCATTTGGCTTTGAGTGGTCCTATTGAAATGGTCTCGACGTTGTTGTTGTTGGGTTTGTGTGGTGGTACCTTGCTGGTGTCCCTCGATGCTTTGTTGTAGGGCCACGGGGGTCAGCCACTCTTTAGGGATGCACCTTTGCAGAAACGGCACCCGCGAACTGAGATACGCCAGACGATTCACCCAGGACGGGATCTCACTTCCGCAGAGAATCTGTTCAATGATGCACAGAGGGTTCAATGATGCGAATATAGGCATTTCCCATTAACATACATAGCACATATAATAAATTCAGACAGTTGTATAAGTGATTTATGACTACCTGTTTTGAGCAAAAATCTGTTCCTCTACTGACTGATATACTTGTCATGATTTTCACCAATGTTTACATCCATATAAATGGGACAACTGCACGTAAACTTAATTTATTGAAATAAGAATGTAAAATTTGAGCAACAATATGGCTAGATTTCTTAGGGTAAAAGCCATTTCTTTCTGCTTCGAAAGCAGAAAGCTAAAATTGATTTAAATATAGTCCTCAGTGGAGTCAAAAAACCTTAGTTTCCATTTACCGCCAAAACCTTTCTTGACAAACATACATACCTTGCCAAGTTCGCCGGTAAAGTGGTTACAGTTCTTGTTCATCAAATGGTAGAGATCCCCCCGAAAATCATCACCCATGCCTTCTACTAGGTTACGTACTTCATCTTCAGTAAAATCCGTCTGGCCCAAAACGATCGACGTCCTATATCAATGAGATATAAAACATAAATAATCTAAATCACATAACCTTTTATTTAAACATTTGCCTGAGGATACCATATTTGATATGTAATTATCTATACGCCAATATGTAAGCTCGTTTCTGTTATTGGGAAATAATCCTTGCCAATATGAGTACTGTTGGTAGCGCGATAATTCTATATATACATATATATATATATATATATATATATATATATAGGATTATCACGAAAATGTTAACTACCTTTAAGCTAAGATTGCAGCTGATATTTTTTATGTTTTAAAATAATATTACTAAGCTATATAACCGTTATTTTGAGCAGTAATTTTCTGCCATTTTCTAGCAAGTCCATATTGTAAAACCTTTTTGATTTCTTACGGAATGATGGAAAACTGTAGTAAATGATTTTTGTATCCCTTCGTTGAGATTAAAGTAGTACCACTAAGAAAGTTCCGTAGAAACCGAAACACAGCAGCAAATTATTCTCAGTTCTGCCAGACACATAGCGTCGCCTTCTTTGGTCTGGATTTTATCACAGATTGTGGAGCATACTTTTTTATTTGCACATTATTGTCATACGTGATCTATTTTCTATCACCCGTTATCGAGGGTTTTATAAATGGTGCGAGTTTGATACATTACTTTAAAGTTTCACAGATGGAAATACGACTGAGTCAATTATTTTGTGTTAATTTACATGATACCCAAATATCGAGCTTTATTTTTTGTAATCAGCTTTTTCAAATGGTGTAAAAATTTTTGGTAATGGATGTTTAGTCTCTTAACGATATCGCAGCTACTCACGTGACAATCTTTCTCAACTTTTGAAATAATTCTATCAGCGTTTTTCGCAGTTACGTGGAGCATTTTTCGCGTTGAAATTTTCAGACCGAAAGCGACAGAACCGTCTTTAGGTTATTCCGTTCGGTAACTCATTTTTTTTCAGAAATTTTGAAAATCAAGGTGCTTTATCTCAAGTCGGAATAAATGCATTCGAAATGTTTTAGCACAGTTGCTATCTTCAAACCTCTTTACCTATATTATCTGTAATATGTAGCTTTAAATTCATCTAGCCATAAAAACGCTCAAAACCGCATATATGTGATTTAGTAAAAAACATTCTATAGTGATTAGTGCCGTGTACTATGTAATGCATTCAGGTTGGTGCCAATTGCAATCGCCTCGCGCATAGGTACTGCAGCACAAACTAAACGCAGCTCTCACTCGTTGCATTGATGTTAGTTCTTTCAAATACAGATGTGTTGGCTTTGCATTCAATGTCTATAAATAAGGACACTACTCCATAAAACATATCAGAGCTTACTTATATTTGAAGTTATCACCCAACTCTTCAGCGAATTTCGGTATTATCTCAAATATGCCAGTGAAGGCAAATGGATGTCCTCCATAGGCGTACTCTGTCCCATAAACCTCCACGCCTGAGTGAAAAACTCCGACACCGAGGTGTGACGTCCACTCGTTTGTCCAGTACTGGAAGGAAAAGAACGCGTAAAGGGTACGTTAACCAAACAGAATGTATATATACGTGTACATATATACTTCTGTGAACGCTGCAGCTTGACATCGAAATAGCTAACAATGCGTCCGACAAAAAGCCCTGTACATCATACCATTCAAATCGTACCTAAACCAAAGGTGTTTTAAAAGAAATATCTGAAAGACATGTCGTACCTTGTGTACTTGATTTTTCGCCTGCTTTGATTCGTTGTATGCTTTTCGAATATTTCGCTTATATTATCTATAGAAATAAAAATGCAACTGTATTTTATCCGAAAATGGAAACAGCAATCATATATTAGTAATAATCATTAAAGAGACGCATAATCATAATCAATGGCACGCAAGGAAAATGCACTTACACTTTTCTTTTTTTTGTAAATTTAGTTGAAAAAATTACCACTAAAATTCTGGAAGTCTCAAGCTAGCTAGAGTGTCACTATAAGTGTCTCTTTTGATGATAATCACCATCATATTAACATCTGTTAATAATTTCTTGTCTTATGTAGTTGAACGACATATCCGTCACCGCCAAAAAGTGTGGTAAAATATTCAATGCATATCCAACTATGAAGAGCTACATGCGACGAATATTGGGTTCAGTGTTTCGTCTAAGCCATTTTGAACCACTCGAGAGAATTCGTGACACTTCGGATTATTTCGATCAGCTTCAAATAAAGTTCAGACCGTGTTTAGCCTGTGACGTTTTACTATGGTTTTTCGACTGGAAAGCTCAAACATAAGATACAGTTGATCACTGATTTGAAAAAGTAAAATTGCATCATTACGAAATGATGCTTATCGATAACAAATATAAGAATGTGACCGAAAGGCAACACTAAAAAAAAATGGTGAATTAGTTTTCAGCGAACGTGTCCCGAACGCACCACAATCAAAATTACCAAAAAAATACCAAAGTCAACGTTCCTCTAAAAAGCTACAGATGATATTTACTAATAAAGAGGTAATATTGAATTTTTGCTTTTTTCAGTACATCGTAAAGCTCAAACGTATAATAATCCTAATAAATAACTACTCAAAGTATCATGCATTACGGTTTACAAAACCATGTCCGCCTGATAGCTCCCAAGACGTTTCGATAGCGAAATACCCAAGCACAGCCTGACTAACTTACGTACAGTCTATATATGAACCATAGACGAGTATAACTATATCCCTCACTGCCGTGTGCACCTTTCCGATTTTTAACCAACTGATATTAGTTAAGTGCGACTGATCAACAACTATATTAATGATCCCTAATGAGTGCCATATCAAACATGTACACCAAAATCCGCGTGTATTATTGTCATTTACCTTTATAATCCAGCATATAAGCACTATATGCATATTTTTACTATTAGTAACTATACTATTAGAGCTGTTGGTAAAGCTAACCACACAGCCAATGTTGCTTTTCACTGACAGTACAACGAGACGATACAGTGCAGTAAAGTGGGCTGTTGGTATATTTCGAAGGCAACACGGCCTCCTCCTGGGGGAACTGCTAACGTCTTTCCTCCCTAATGAAGACGTGACGATGTACCGCCAATTAACGAAGAACGTATCAGCCACAAAAACATTTTCGTGCTAGCCTGCATAGCCGCTATAACACTGACGCCTACGCTTTTCGCACATTGCTAGACAAATCACACGGACGTGCTATAATGACTGACAATGCATAATACAAAGCGTGATCATGCCAGAGGTAGCGACTGAGGAAGACATTTACCTATTTAACAATAGCGGTATATATGCGTATATATATATATATATATATAGTTGAGCACTACAATGTCCAATAAATTAATCATTTTCCTGTAAATCTATGCCTATCCATGTGCGTCCGATTTCTTTTTAGTTATGCCAATAGATTTACTTGTAGAGTAATAATCGCATCTTAATGAAGCACCGTGGTGAGCATACTGCGATACAACCCAAATTAGGGTGCGTCCTATGACAGGCGTTCTACAGGCAGCAGCAGACGTGGCGGAAAGCTGAAGTTTTAGTTGTCGCTTAATGGATTCACAGTATAAAAAGCCGTTCTGGAAGCTCAAATGAACAACATATCGGAAAATCTGACTCTGATCGATTCTGTTCCAGTATTTCGTTTTGAAGAGCCCCACTTTGTAGAAATTGAACAGAGGATATACTGCTAGAATAACAAGCCATATATTCGAATAATCTAGTGATAAATGAAAAAGGAACCCTCACAACTGACGTCTCTCGATCGGCAAATAAGGTTAAGGCGCTGCAAGCTAAATCGTTGCTCAGTTTGCCAACAAAAAAAGCAACGGAATCTCATTTAATGTGGCTTCTCGTTATCAATGGATCTACATGAATGTACACTTTAAATATAGAACTATCTCTACTTACCATATCGTAGACGTTGAGAACAACGGGTTCGCGTGCCATTTTGTTGTTGTTGTTGTTCTTTTAACCGTAATTTTTTAATCTTCTATTGATCGTCGGTTAAAACATTTTCATTCGTAGATTCTTAATTTTTCGCTGGTATTATTGTTTTTTCTGCTAGACGCCTTCATTAAAACGAAAGTTTTGCGTCGTGGACGTTCTGTGTTTCCGCAATGGTGTTGATCCGACCTCGGAGTGGTTGGTCTCAATGCAGCGAGAACACCTTTCCGTTTACTGAGTATGCTCTCTATGTTTTTAGAGGAAACTAGTAAGGGCTTTCAGGCTGAAGATCTCTGCAAACGCGACCACGGAATAAGACAGACCAGCAGCCGTAAAAACAGACTGAGAAAAAATAAAACCTTATTACCTCCAATGGATTATCATAACTATTACCGATGACAAATAATGATTTCTTTCCGATATCTGCGCTCGATCCATAATAGAAAACGACGGGGAGACGTTACATACATACATGATCACAGTAATAATCAGCAGCGAGCAGTGGATATTAGAACTAGAAAAGAATAGTGCAGCTCACGATGGTACTGTTATTATCGTTCTACATAAGGATCTCAATATGATTTTACTTTACTGAACATTCGATTCATTTAACAACGACGCGTATGCCAGTGTCACTCACTGACTTTCGTCACTCTTGACACCGTATAATAATGCGACATAAATGCGGGCGCATGTAAACTATCCGAGATGTGTAAATTTACGAAAACAATCTACCCTTCATATCGTGTGTTAATATTCAGTGCTTTTCCAATAATAATAGCAATAATTGAGCTATAGAGATCACTTTGTGTTGCCAGCATATGCTTGGGGAACTACGGACGAGTAAGACTACTAATCCACTATAACCCTCCAAAAAGAAATAAAGTTATCCACGCAATGGAAGGTAAAACCCGTGTTCGTTGTGCAACTTATTTTTTTTCTAGCTATTTATCTTGTTCGGACGGTCGATCGGTCGGTCACTCACTCACTCACAAGAAAAATCAAGCTGAACTTTCAACTTCGTCCATGTATCTTTCCTGATGCTGCTACTGCTGTTCGCATCAATTGATTTTCTTTCGTACCTCTAAAAAACGCTTTTGGTTAGTCGACTGACCAGATGCCGTGATGGTAACAGCATTGGGCGTTCCATGCATAATCCTGAGAATGATGGTCACCATCGTTCCTTGTATTAGTGTTCTCCAGAGGAAGCATCTCTTTCTCTTAGTTTCTCTCTCTCTTGTTTATTGGTTTCTTACTTTACACAAGTTGCGATCGTATAGCAAGTTGTGCTTGTCAGTCTTGCGTTACTTTACCACCCCTCCGTGCTTGTCCTATCCGTTTGATTTGGCACCACTGGCGTAAGATACCACCGCGGCCTTCGCCACCTTAACAGCCTATACTACCAGAACACATCCTGACAATACATAGCAACACACGCAGTACTTTCGAACGCATGCGGAAATCGAACGCAGAACCTTCACATTTACAGCCACACCGCTTTATGCCTGTAAATGATCTGATAAACACTTTTCAATTCGATTATGGAAGCACCTGATTACCGGCTCTCACCTTCATGTAACAACAGATGATTATCGTTGTTATCTGATGATTCCTCGTTCTTTCCAGCTAGTTAGATGCACATATTGTTACAGCACGTCATGATGAACAACGAAAACAAAACACGATGACAATGATGATAATAATGATGGTTACGATGACCACTTGTGTCAGCTAACGTACTTTTTCCTTTTATTACAAAGGCCTCACAAGTTTTTCGGCGCCATCACCGAAATCGTGACTGGTGCAGCGACTCTAGCGCTACCAATACTACCGGCGGTAATAAACTGCAACGATGAGTGGCATCACTATCGTATGTCTGCTGACGACAATAATAATGAAGGCAACGAAGAAGAGCGAAAAGGTCCAACACCAACAAACAATTGGTGCAGGTACCGTATGCTAGATTCAGTGGCCACAGCAGCGACAGCGGTGTCAATAATCAAACAAACCAATTAATTCAAGTGGCTAGATAACAGTGACAATGCGGATGCTGTAATAGCTAGCTTCGTCCCTTTTTGTCTCCCACACTTCAACAACACAGCAACAGGCGATAGATCAACGTTGACATAGGCCATCACAACGCCAGTGACGATAGCTTGCGCCGTCGTGTCGGTACACTATGAGCTTTCATTACTATTGCTGTTGAGGCCGATTGAATTTTCGAGCGCACTGTATGAAATGTTTCCTTGGCCTATTCTGATCCTACCAACGCTTCTTATGCTGTCCTGTTGGTAAGACGATGCGCGCACAGCACCATGGCCATAATTGTAATCATAGCGGTAGAATAGATAATAATGATTATGTTCCGGAGCGCTCCGCAACAACACTCCGTGGCGGGCGATAGCGGTTACAAGGTTGGTGTGATGTCCGATCTATGGGTCCACCTTTGCTGTGCTTCCTTTCTTTTTTGCCTCTGGCCCGGCTTCGTGTTTCATTTTGTCGTAGCCATTCGATACAAGAGTGACTAGATCGGACACAAACAAGGCGCTTTGCTTTGACAGACAATATTCAAGCGAACTGATCGACGATTCCTTTAGCTCTCGAGAGACGGCGGTGCCGGCCGCAATGGTGAACGGTCGTGAACGCTATCGGCCGGAATCTGTTGATTTCTTGTACACGGTAGACCCCGCCGCGACTGCATTGGTGGCACGCGCACTTTCCTTCGGGTACAGGCGGTTTGTTAGAACGCACGAATGCACTTACTCTTGCACTCAGTCTCCTGGCTAACGGCCACTTGCGGTGCTAGCACTGCTGATTATGGCTATTATTATTGTTATTATTATATTATTAGATACTGAACGTTTCCATTATACAAATGCCGTTCACTTGAGAGAGGAACTGAGACTGCTGTTGGCTATGATAACAACGATAACGATAACAACATCAGCAACAGTTGCAGCTGTACGAAAGGAGTAGCAGATGCGGGCTCGCCGACGGCACACGGCGCATAGAAAATCGATTCGATTTCTTCTTCACTGCTGGAGTTCCTGTTCTTTGGGCCGCTAAGGGTGGCGGCAGCGGCAGCACCTCCCTGAGAACAGCCACGCAGCAGATCGACAACGGCTCTGAACAGCCAGCGTAGAAAAAGAGAAGCAATAGCGATTGTTTGCGAGCACGATAACACCTACAGTCGGCAACAGAGCCTCGGCCGCAGTCATCGCCACCAGCGCACTACCACTACCATGACGACGATGACGACGACGACGATCACTATAAACAGTAGCGTCTAGGAGTCGTACACGGTAGATACAGTTAGTAGTAAAGCACCGTCGTTGCCTATAATAGACACGACAGACAGACAGACAAATGCACACAGTGACGGTAGACAGAAAGGTGCTGCCGCTGGTGCTGCTGCCACAGCAGCAGCAGCAACAGCCGGCGCAGGGATGGCACAACGCGCTTGCTAGAGTCTGCCGTTGCCGCTTTCTCTTTCTCAGTGTAGTTTGTGAACAAATGCTGTTTGTGCTACATGAAGGATTGAATTAGTCAGGCAGGCAGCAGAATAGGCCACTAATGCGGACAAGCAGGCTAGCGGGGCTAAGGCCGTCTGCCCACCTATTCGACGGCTGTACGATGTCGTCTACTTCGAACGGCGCGGGAAGAGGCATATGAGCGTGATTTGGGTGGAGCATCTGGCTAGAGACTGTGTTGAAAGTGTCTATTGCTGGCGAATCCGATAAATGGCACAGGGACGAAGATTGTCATGATGCACCAATTTTGGTGACAAAAAGTGGTGACTAAGGAATTTTCATGTAATATAATAACTTAACGGAAGCATAGAAAGAAACAGCCGCATGCGTATCGATAAATGTGTGCGGCAAAATGGGTAACAAAGCTTGAAGAATCGAAAGAACCTTGCAACGCACCACGACAATCATGTGACAGGCAGCAGGAAATGTCGTGTTATCCCTGTCGTTCGGTCAGGTAGCTGAGTAAGTAGGCAGTTAACCGGAGGACGAGTGAAGGTAACGGCTTACTAATTAATGTTGCAGTCGCTTGCCAGTAGTCAGATCTAGCCGATGTTAGGTCCGGAGCAGGACAGCATACGAGCCATTAATTAATTGTACGCAGCAACCCACGATTACCTGTTAGTTACTTCATAAAATTGGTCGTCTGGCGTTAGTTGCAACACGACGGTTCGCAGAAGACAGTAGATCGAATGGTAGTGGACACCACAAGCATTATAGATATATATACACCTGTAAACATTACATACGAACGATGACGGCAAGTGAACTTGACAGTTGATCAAAGAAGACACATATATCCACAACATAATAGTTCGGTAGTAACATTTTCTTACCTATCTTAACCTTGCTTAATCTTTAATGTGGAAAAAATAACTAAGGTATGCTAAGTGCTATTAGATTACTGAACTTCGTAAACAATCTCCAACGAAAATAAAGATAAAATTTTGTATGTATTTTATCTTCTTTTTTTCAATAGTAGACTAAGTTCTTTTTTCAAATCGTGGCATTAGTCAGAAGTTGAACAACTTTCTTTTTTCCACTGTTTCCAATGAACTGTATTGCTCCGCCATCAAAACCGACACGTCAATCTAGATCCGTTAGAAAAATGATTAATGTGTCGATAGTCGATCATCTTGAGGAAAATCTCTAAACTTCAGTCTATAGCTATTCATGCAAAATAAGATCTATAGGAGTTATAAAATGACGACTCAACTTTATAAAAGTTATTCGATAGATGATCAGTGCTACGCGCGAAGCTACTAATGACTAGGAAAGGCACAGAACTGATAAACATGAAGCGAATAAAATATATAATACATCCTGTGTAGAGCAATATATTATATGTAGCTAGGATAGTTAAAGCATTTTTGATATGTTGTTCATGCGTGCGTCCTAGATAGCTGTTACTTACATTTCTACTCGGCTCATCTTTGGCTGCCAGTTTGCAAGTAGCCGCCGAAGCCCGGACTCGATTGTTTACGTCCTCTCCTAGCGCGAGAGATCAACTTGATTGCAAAATATTGAGTTAACGTGAAGGCGTTTTTACTGTTCGAACTAAGAACTTTGCTGTTTTGCCCTTTATATGAACAGTCGACAGCGGGACAATTCGTTTTATAGGTTGAAGACTTCTACGTGAAGATTCGATAAGATGCCAGCCGTGCCACAGAATGGCGTTAGGGGTCATCAGATATCGTGCATGGATCGCATCTGGATGGGCGCGAAGATGGGCATGCTTGTGGGCGGTGGATTCGGCATATTGCTTGGAGCTTTCACTGCTCTACGCGGAGGTTATCGAGGCGTCGAGCTACTCAAAGTTGCTGGGAAGAGCACGGTTCAATCCGCCGGAACTTTCGGCACTTTCATGGCAATAGGATCCGGCATTCGATGCTAAATGTTCGATTAGTGGATTACGACGGGAGTAGTGGAAGACATCAGTGGATATAGACCTCAATGGCAAAATGCGGTTCCATCTTAACCGCAAAGAATTCGTCGTACCGTTTTGTACGCACTCCGAGAATCATAGCGTGCTGTGGCAAAATTCCTGCGCGTTGTTCCATTAGAAGAGAAGGGAGCAGTGTGCGCTTAGAAAGGCAGTTATCTTTTAGTGGAAGTTTCTCCCAATAATTGTAAATATTATTTGCAGTATCTGTAATACATAGAAGGTGGAAATAAATGTTTTATTCTATTGCAGACAGCTACGTTTGAATGCTTTTGTTTTCCATCTGAAAATATTAAAGAAGCTTTTAATATATATATGTATATAGGGAGCTGAATGCGTAGAAAAGAAATAAACAGAAAATTTTTATTATTGTAGATGATTATTTTGAATTGGTTATTTAATCATATACGTGAAGAAGATACATATAGTTAATTTCTCATTCAGGTAACATACATTTATTTGTCGTGAGCGAATTAGGTACGAAACAACTAGAAATAATATAACATGTAAGAGAACATGAGCTTTTTTTCATTTACATTCTTTTCACGAAAACGATATAGAATTAGAATGAACTGACTAATGACAAAAACTATAATTTAAACTAATGATATGATCACCTAAACATTGAACGCTTCTGGAATTAATCTCCGCTTTCTATTTAACAAAGCATTACCTTTTCTCGCATACAAGTGCTTTTTTTTATTTTGTAAGATCCATATTCAATTGGCACTAATATTAGTGCTTTACGCAGTCACTGTTGCTGCGATTGGTCTAGCCTTTCTACTACTTCGAAGCTCTTCATATGTTCATTTGCACTAAATAGGAAGTTGATATCTGGGGTCCTATTTTGCGAATTATTCAATCCGAAACTTCGCCAACTTAACAATTTTTGTTTGCGTTAAAACTGACTATTAGCTTCAACATGTTCTCTTTAAGTAATGATTCAGTAATTCTTTCTATTCTTGAATGTTTCATTTCAATATAATTTAAATTTTTTGTTAGTGTGTGTTGCTAGCAACTTTTGGAAGGTTAACATAAACAAACGATGGTCAGAACTTGCATAGACACGTGACGATATTAAGGCTTTCTCTGTCATTATGTTTAATACCGCTATGTAAAGCAATGTTGATAATTGAGAAGCTAAAAATTCTAATGGAAATTAACATGTAAGCTATTGCGGCCTACCAGATTTTTCTTAATTGATTTTCAATAAATGTGGCACCGGGAGTAACATGATTTTGTTTACCAGAAAAATACTATTTTGATAAGGGACACTTAAAACCAGAGTTTCTGTTTCGAACTGCATTTGATTGTTGTCAATATTTATTACCCCTTCAGAAATTCGGCCGGCAACAAAAGTCTAGTTGGTAAATACTTAACCTACAAAACTTTTTATGAGGCGTTTCATTTAGCAGCTCGTAAATGTTTTATAACTTATGCCGAAAAACTGGTGCAGCAAAGACCCGAAACCTTTTAGTTATTTTTATTGTTTTTATATTATTCGAAAGTTCGGTCGCCTTTAACTTGCTTTGTTGGCTTTAGAAATGAATGTCAAGCATCGTTCTATTTGAAAGTAAACATTGGATAACCTATGTTAACCAGTAGAAAGGCACACTTCGTCCTTCATTACAAGTTACTCTACTAAAGATATACGCCTGGAAGGTACTAGATTTTTTCCACCTGTTGCAGTTAACGAAGAGAATATATCTTATCCAACTATTCCTTCGAAAGCATCTGAACGCCCTAGTTGATGTTAAATGGTGACAGAATTAAAGGAGCTTATCTGCTGTCTCAAAGAAGTCAATGGAAGTAATCGCGCCTGGCCTAGTAAGGTATTGTGTTGCTGCATGGAAACAACGAGCTATATTAACTATTGGTTTTCGCAAGCCGCTTTTACGGCGTAGTAGAAAAGGAGCATCTTTGGAAATGTCGAAGATGGCGTGCACCAAATTTCTGTTACAATATTTAGCAAGGAATAAATAATCGCATAGAATCAGGATACAAGAGTACAAGATTAGGCCCTTCCGAACAAAGTTTTCCCGCAAATGATGCTCATGGTGACTCGTATTCTGCGATATCATCCACGAGACTAAACTGTGAGGAGCCGCTTATTTTTCAAGTGTCGTTGTTTTCAGAACGGTTTTGCGAACACTAAAGTTTAGCATTGCAGTAGAAAGCTTTTAACAGCTTTGGTCAATGAACTGATGAGAAAAATTGGAAATAAATAAGTAGTATTAGCAGATTTTGTGAAATTTGGACACTTATTAGCGAAAACAATTCTCAGAAATGAAAGAACATTGCCTAAGCTAATATATAGCATAAAGCCACAATTATATGGAACAGCTCATAGGTGCTTTGAACTAACGATCTGCTATTCTACATTTTGCCGCTATTATTGATCTTTTTGCCTTAAAATGATCATCATCTTGTATAAACCCGAGCATGGAACCAATCTAACTTCTGATTTTTTGCCGAGTTTGTAAGTTTGTGAAATGAAAAATGATGTACAGGAAATGAGATGTGACAAGCTCCAAATTTCACATTCAAAAGTATTTTAAGGCACAGTAAAGAGTTACCTTTAAGGAGACAAAACTAATTTAGATGCGTAAATAATTATTCTTCGTTTAGTAAAAACATTGCTGTAATCTATTGATCACATCCTACGTTTACATTAAAAATTTAGTAAAAAATACAACTTTAGGCGATTCTACTGTAAGAATTCATATACTATACAAATATAAAAATTATAATGTTTACATAACTCTACATTTTAAGACTAATACATATTTCTAGCTCCACAAGGACAAATGCATTATATGCATGATAATAGCTCTTGGTAGGTGGTCCAAGACCGACATTATATGCTTGCAGTGTTTAAATCCTATGTACAGAGAATATCTTCTCACTTCGAAGTTCTGTGTTCTCCTGCTGAAAGGTGAACATATTTGTTTGTAATTATTTTCTATCAATTGTTTATTATATCATGATAATTTGTCTAACTTCACATTAGCCAACGTTATTGATGTTGAATAACTTAGTATAGTGAGTTGGTTGATAAGTTTCGGGTGCGATGCTTTTAGGTAATTATCAGCGAGTACCAGTGCGAGGTTTTTTCAAATTTATTTTCTCATTTGCCGATGCAAGCATTTGCGCGCAGAGTACAAACCGATCTGATTATCTTATTGATTCAGCGAGTGTGATGCTGACAGATCTGTTGTAGCTGTAAAAGCCCAAATCATGCAGTGATAAGAAGTTTATTTGTTGAACTAATCGGGACGCTTTAGGTAGTCCAAATTTGAAACATGGAGAAAACATGCTTCGTTTCTGGTAGGTCCCTTCATCCTAGACGGTTAAACTGGACGTAAAACTGAAGACAGAAAAAGCTTAACTTCGAATCCACTGTAAGTAGCGAAATATTTTTCAAGGCAAGTCTAGGTAATTATCTAAATATTAGGGCAGATATAAGAGTGATCCTTCTTAAGCTTTGGTAGTAATTTTGAAAATATTTAAGTCAAATGTAGGTTAAGGACATTTCATATATCAGGCGATTTTATACGTTAAACGGTAACTGAATTCGCGATCATTGTTAAACAAGACGGGCCCATAGAGATACCGTTCATTGTATCCTGGTCCACGGGATACTTCCAGCCTGTTAAGCAAAAGACATTCATATTATGGGATTAATAAACCCTACGGCTTTACTGTTCAAAATATAAGGTAACCTTTAATTATGCTTTATAAACTAAGCCTTTTTAAAACGACCTTACGTTCAACACTTACAGACTGAATCGTAAGTTTTTTTTGATAGCGTATCGCTAATTTGGTTATCTTGTCACATGTTACTTGTGTATCTACCTAGCTGTTATTCGCTAGCTTTTAGCATGCATCTTTTAGAAGACATATATTCTCATGGTCGTACACTTGTGGTCGATTTCTATTGATGCTTATTCTATTTTGGTTCCGTATTGAAACGCATGCATGTCTCTTTAATTGGCCTCACGATTCTCGCATTAAAATAATGTTCGATACAATAAAACCCTGGTTACCGTGGTGATTGATAATTCAGCAGAAATGCCCTCTTTTGGAAAATATTCAAAGCTTTAAATGAAGGTCTGTATGCTATTGAGAAGCGCTAAATAACACCCGAAGACTCAGAAGGTTATATAAGGTGCAATTGGAATCCTGGACGAATTATTGCGTTAACTCAGCCTCGTCTGCTCGGAATATCTTTCATTTTTGTGCTACTGCTATCTTCTGGGAAATTGTTGCAGAAACTTAATCTTTGCAGAGAGCTCACAATTGTATGGACGGATATTGTAATAAATGTTGAAAAGATCAATTGTTGCTCAAACGTAGTAGTTGTAGTCAGGCTGTTAGGCGCCCACCGCCGGCCACCGAGAATTCTACCTATCACAGCTTGCTAGTGAAAACTCATCGTTAGTTAATTGCCCAGAACACTGTTCCACTGGCCAGTTTCATAAAAAGGGCACGTTTGAAACATAGCTTTCACTAGCTCTTATAGCCTGTCTCAACTAAAAGTAACAAATGTCTTTTGCTGTTTTGCTGTCAGCTTTTCCCTAACCTCTCCAATGTACAATATCCTAGCCATCCCAAAGACAACGGACATGTTGTTAGACAAACGAACGGTTTGTTTCGTATCCGTCTCCTTGGCAGCGCTGGGGACAGTCAACAAGTAAACGTCGCATCGATTTTCTCGTTGAATCGACATTGTTTTGACCGCCTATAGTATCCAAATTTGTCGGCCCAGGGCGCGATTAGAAAAAATAAACGACACTAGAAGACGCATTTGCCCTCGTCGTTATTCTGCTCATACGTGTGTGTACGCTCGCTCCATTATCGACATAGAATAGCTGTGTTAGTATCTTGCACGCAACTACGAGGGCGAAACCCGTTCTAAATGGTAAAAAGAGAGGACTTGTCGAGTAAACGTCTTCTTCTCCAGCGAGTTGATTACTGCAATAGAAACGGTAAACGGTTATTTGTGCGGTGAGATGATGCTTTGTTGCGTCTGTGCGTCGACAGAGCCATAATCGTGCATTGTGGCGGACGCCATGGCAACGTCCTAACCGGAAATGTCGAGAAAAGTAGCCAACTATCAGATGGTGCCGTTGTCAGATGTGCCACGGTGGACGCCCCTGTCGGGTTTTCGGTTGGAGCCACGGTAAAACGTCTACCCGATTATATGCCTGAACAGAACGTATAACGAAGAGAAAGAAAAGCAGCTACTTTGTTTTTAATTGCTAATAGCTTTTGTGATAAACGAGCATTGAAACATTGCTGAACGGGGGTGTTGGTATATATTTGATTGTTGATGTTTTTGTTTTTTCGTTGAGAACTTGAAGATGAAAAAGAAGTACGTCGAACATCGAACATACAAAAACGCATAACTCTGCACCTGTCTATGCACAACTGTTACATATCTCATATTAATAACCTGGTACGCGTCGGAACTTATTATAGTAAATGCTCCAACCATCAAGTACCTTTTTATAGCTCAAAAGCAATACTTCATTATCGCCAGTGTCGTCTCTTTTCATTTAATTCTGTTATCGGCGTTCCCTATGCGCTACACAGCGACAAATGACGCGCGTTTTGTATTAGCCGAAGATGCTGCGCCCCCTTGTAAGCATCAGACGTGGATCTGTCCGCTTCGATGCTTTACGCAACTTCGACTATACGTAGCAGAGACCACATTGACGTCAGCAGCGGCGTTGCGCATCAGACGAACGTAGCTGCCAATAGAACGTTTGTTTAGCCTCTTCTGCTTGACTGCTGGTTAAATGTAACTGAGTCTGCAGTAGGACGACAGATAGGACCGAATCTAGAGGTAGCTAGGTCGACGAAGAACAAACGGGCGGCCGGCTGCAGAAAGCAAGGAAAAACGGAGGGTACTTTGAAGCAAACACATCGCGTCACACAGCCCAGCATCACAACAGAAAAACAGCAGCATCAGCCGAAGCGGCAGGGGCCGTGGCTGGTATCAGCCTCTACGCGACGCGATCGTTGAATAAATGCCGGCTGTCTTGCTATAATCATAGCGGCAGCGACACCAACAGCAAACGATTGAACAAAACAGCACTGACTGGCGCAAGGCGGCCCCTCGTTGTAAACAGAGAAAACTGAGGGATACCGAGCTACGAATAAACGAATACGAGAAGAGTTGCGTCGGGTTGTTGTGTGTGAGCAAAGTGTAAAGTGGCCCAACGACGACGAAGCTCTTTTTACCTTTTTCGTTCATTCATCTGATAAAAACTAGAATCGAAGAGTGGAAAATTAGCTATAGTTGAACGTTCACAAGCACGCAATACCGCCCCGTGGCGCAGATTTAGGCACAATTTTGTCTTAGCAATTTATTAACACGACTGGCGACGCGACTTTACTAACGGTAAAAAACGAACGTTCGAGTGTATGCCGACGAGCCCAAGTAAACCCGACCGTGGGCTAACTGCGACTATTCATCAAGGAGGGATGTGTTTTCAAGAACGCTGACATTAAAATAATCTCCTAAATAAAGAAGGAGACAACTCGATCCGGGATTAGTGTTTTGAGAATTTGATGTTCCAGGTATGTCGGCAAGTGCTAGCGCAGGTCAGTGAGTCAGCGGCAAGGGCAGTACGCCCTTCCGCACCAACAACGTTCGGACGGTGGCACACCAAAAAAAGTTGCATATAGTCTCTCGTTCTGATCATGCTGGTAACGATTAAGCAAGTAAAAGCAAACGAAACGCGTCTAAGGCAAGGAATTTTCAGTTTGAAGTCGTGTGTATTTTAGTAGACTCAAAAAGGACCGGCCGCACAGACACTTAGAGTATCCTTCAGTACAGAGACGACCGCGGCACAAGATGAAGGGCGCGCTATTAATAGCGATTGGCGCGATTCTCGTAGGCAGCGGTGAGTTTCGAAACGGATTAAAAAATCGATACATACATTTATTTTGCACAGAAATAACTTGCCATATAGGCGTTTCATTTGAGAGCCTGAAATATAAGGTCTCGACTTGTTTGTTTAACGTTGGCGTGTAAACTACAAATCATCGTAGAGACTAAGCATCTTTTAGTCTGCAGATTTCAATAGTATCTCGGTTAAACTGAAAGCATTTCAGAACTTGTTACATATATATAAACAATTTCACCTAATTTACAAAACTTTGCAAAAACGCCTCGTGCATATTTAAAAACACACTTTGATTGAGGTTTCCCTTAAGCGTCGTGGTCTTGTAAGCAACTATTCATAGTGTTGTTAATCAGGCCGAACACTACAGGGTGTTCATAAAAATGTTACATTTTTTAACAATGACATATCCGAAGCCAGTCATCATAAATCGGGCACAAGAAGTGTCGCTGAAGAGCGTGTTAAAGTACGATATGGTGAAACATTGCAGCTGAAGCTATATCGATAAGTAATGATTGCACGATCCAGGATTTTTTTGCGCTCTATTTTAAGCATCGGATGAGAACGTTCGTTAAACGTAGCTAACCATTGTATTGACTTCATTCGATTAGATCATGCACTTGCTATATTTTTTTGAACCTCGAATATTGGTTATAAGATTCGAATTTGCTTTTTTTTTAATAATATCAGCTTAGCAGCTACAGCAGAAAAGGCGGTTCCTTTGCGGTTCCTAGACTGCTATTGCCCAAATGGGCTCAACGTAATTCATATAGAAATATATTATCGTACATAATTATGACGCCTCTGATAATAACTCCCACGGTATTGTTTAGGTTTATTTTTGATCTATCGTTCGTAAATGTATGGTGATAATTAATAAGCGCATAACTAAAGTGGTAGCACCTTTTGATTACTTTTAATAAAGATCGTGCGGTTTTCACGTGTTACTATTGTCCACATGTTCGCTATGTATGCTTCTCACACGTTAACCTAGTAGCTTTTGTACTTCCTCAGTACAATGCTGGTTCTCTCTGAATTACTCGGAAATCTCAATCAATGCATATAGCTGGAAGCTCTTAATAAGAATTAAGTTAAACGATGGGTTACCCCTACCATGAAAAGTGCACGAAAAGCAGGAAAGTTATGTCCATATAAAAAAAAAGGCTACAAAAAAAAGAATTCGATTTCGATTTCTCGTGATTTGGGTACATATGACATCAATTCAAAAGGACCATCTATTCAGTAGAACGTGGATTTTATCTTCTGGCAAAAAAAACACCAAAAATAGGTAACAAAATACATAATAATCAGTCCATTTTTAAATAATTGGTGATGTACATTCTCTGTTATAAATATATGAACAAATAAAGTAACCGGAATGTCACATTACGTAAGATCGCAATCAGCCACAACAATTAACAATAGGAATAATGGATCTGATGTTGGTCAATAATTCTGTTTTAATTTAGCTTCAAGCACCATGCTATCAAATCTAATAAACTGATGAAGAGATTTCTCAGGTGAGGGATTCTTTATTCTTCTTGAAAAAAATAATAAAAGAAAAATAAAAATTCGGTGAGAAAACTGCTTGGCTTGGATAAACTGAGAATTCAATCAGGTTCATTCTAACTCAAGGGAATTAACTTTTGTATATGAAACGTTGGATTCGTATAATGTGTATATCAGAATTGTCTCTCGGAGTACTACACCATCATATATGCGTGTTTACAAATCAGAATACTAAAAGAATAATCTTTGATCATCTATCCAAAGAGACTCTTGAAAAAGCTGAGTTTTTGTTCCCCAACTTCTTTAAGGTTCTTAGAAACAGATGCGATTGGCTTTCGAGAAGTTTCAGGCCGAACAAAACCTGCATGCCTTAACCACGGGCTGTCATTTCGCGTGGCAAGACGATACTTATCGGCGAACTTCTCCTTAAGAACTTGATCAAGCCGTTCTGGCACGTTGGTAATGATGCCGTCAACGCCAAGGTCGAGAGCTGCTGCTTGGAACGACGAAAGATCCACAGTCCATTCGTAGACCTGTTAGTCAATACACGAATAATGTGAGAGAAATCGCTCAATGGACGAAGTCAATGGTTGGCTTAATTCTTGACAAATAACATCGAGTTATTGCACCTTGACGTGGAGAGTTCCCTTAACAGTTGAAATTTTGCTTACATATGCGGCCTAGTTTGTGAGTTCTTTTGGCGTCCGTAATAATAACAGAGGATTCATTCGGCCTACAACCAATTCAAAAGGCAAACAGGGAAAAAATGGTAACCGTTTTACCTATAAACCATCAGTAGAGGGAAGGCATATGTATTCGAAGATAGCTTCGAAAGCTAACAACTGCTCACTTTTTGAGGATACCCTCCTAGGTCCCGTAGGTTAAGGGCTTTTTTGAGGTTTTCATTGCTGTGAAGAGTAGAAACGCAATTTGTTATCCCTTCGCCTTGCCATATATGCTCGTAGATACCATAGTTAGCGAGTATTTCCTGTATTTTTTCCAGTTCTTTGGCGGTGGAGATATCGAAACCCAAGTTTTGTACGTAGTGTTGCATCCAAGGTGCTGCTAGTCCATCTAACACACCTGCAATAAATTCTGCATTGCTCAGATTTCCTTTTTCTGTATTAGGAAAGATCAAGGGGTTTTGTCCGCTATCAGTAACACCAACGATAAAACTTGAAGCTTTGAAGAATCATTGAGCAGATTTAGGCTAGTATCAAAAAACTCGTATTCTGCTTTTCGGAGCAGCAAATCTTATTTAGGAATTTTAACTCAAATGTCGTAGAAACCTTCGATGACTCGATGATCCTCAACTCGTGGAATGGACAATACAACGTTGACCCGATACGTTGATGGTTCCCACAGATGTCTCGCAATAGTGGATATCACGCTGCGTCCCGCTGCTACTTTGGCGTTCTCACTCAGTTTGCTTACCTGGTGGCCATTTAAGAATTATTAAAAACACCGTGCGAACTATGGTAGATAGGATGTTTTTACTTGCCGCATAGAATGTGTCAAGGACAGCATCGAATATTTAGTCTACAGAAGCTTGAAATGTAAATATCGGGTGCGTTATGCTTTTGATGTTTGGAATATGCATTATTCTATTATAGTCCACTTGACCATCAAGTAATGAAATTTCGTGCTTAATAAAACTCCAACCTTGAGGTCTAAAAGCAGCAGCGTTAGGTCGGCTCCCGTGTCAACCTTCAGCCTAATATAATCGAGGAGCTCGCTGAAATTAGCCATTCCTCCACAATGTCGGAGACAGTCACAAGGGAAGCCGTGATGAGTCAACCCTGCGAAGCCATCGGAAAAGAACGAGACATCGGACTCAAAAGCGTTGGCCTTGCGTCCCAGAAATTCGTCCACCTCCTGAAGTGCGTAGAAGGATGCATCGAAGGTAGAACTAAGGGATTGGCTTGGCAAAAAGTTGTTTTGAACTCTACTAGAACGAGATAACACGAAAAATTATCAGCTATAATAGGGAAGTTTTGCCTTTTTTTGTTGATTTAGGCTGAGCTTGTACGTGTGGTCATGGCTGATTTTTTTCGTCATTAATTTTTTTTGCGAATAATTGGCCTGTAAGATGGCCATTGAACTTTTTTGAGAAAATTTTTTTGTTAACATCTGTGCAGGACAGACAGTTATGCGTCACCGAAGGTGCTTGAATCAGTTAAGTCCTAAATCGTTCAGCTAAATTTCTCCTAAAAATTCAGTCCTAAAATTTATTGGCATTGTCATATAATATGGATAACTAATAGTCACGTATGGACCGTGTGGTGTTTATTGTGTAAGATGTCCCGTGATTTTTTGGCAGGCGAAAAAATGTACGTTTACCACATTATCGTTGCAATGATGTATAGCTCTGATATCATCAACAAGAATGCTATCATCTATTTTATAGGTGCAAAATTGAGACTTTGGAAAAGTGAGCAATAGGAACACAGGGTGCTTAAGGGTAAGTCTTAAGTGGGCAAACGCGATAAAGAGAGCGGCAAATATTGACGGGTTAAAAAGAAAAACATGTGCTTTCGTCTCTCATGCTTTGTGTTAATTTGTGTAAACTAGGCCAGCTTGTTTTCGATTTCGTCGCATCTGTTTATCGATAATACAATGCAGGCTCATCAGCTTTATATAGTAACGTTGCCCAATGGTATATTTTCGAGACCTAAACTGAACGGAGACTATTATTCCATATATGATATCAGCACGGCACACTTCTCATAGTCTAATAAATACATTGAAGTGTATTTATTAGACTATGCCAAAAAACATGAGGTATATTTAAAAGGGTATGTTAATACCCTGAACGCAATGTGAGTTTGGTTAATCTGATTTGAATGCCAACGAATTCAGACTGTCTCCATCATCATTATCATACCTGAATGGAGTTGACCATATGTGCAATGTTATAGAACACTCTGCGCCTATCCTCTTTTAAGCTAACAGGTGTCCTTGGTTGATCTAGACTTTCAGCAGTTACCGCTAAGCTGAAAACCAGCATCATCATCAGGTTTCCGTACATTATATTAGCACCATCGATCGACACGTGTCTCACCATTAGTATCAGTAAACTCAATACAATGTGGTGCAGTGGCTCAAAAATGGTTTTTTGAACTAATTCATTCGAAATCAAACTGGGAGGGTTCCGTTGTCAGCAGTTCTTGTGGGCTTCGTTGGTTTTCCCCGTCACATGACCAAAAAATCCGGGAATTTCAGTTGCAAATCGACAATATTGGAGAATAACACTTGACCACTACATGCTGTACGATCGGCCTACAAAAGCATCAACTGCACCTAGAGGCCAATCTTGAAAGCCCGTTTTGAAAATCAGATGGGCAAATAGTACGTTACCTCGAAGCGCGTTATGAAGCCGTTACTGTTATGAAAAGCTATAAGTACTGCTATCGAACAAAACCTTTCACAACTCTCGGTTGACGCAATGTCGTATCAGTAGGTGTGTTTTCGGGAAGGGAGGAAAGCGGTCAAATCTAGGACCCAATATGGTACAGACCTTTATGCCGTCCTTCTCGTATTGCTGGGCTGTTGCTTGACGCAGCTATTGCGCCAGTATCGACGCACGCTTCCGTGAGTTTTGTGAGGTCTGTGAGGAACGGCGTTAGAAACCGTAGCAACGACGTAGTAAACTGACGGAAGTTAAATGACCTTTATGAAGAACGTTAGGATGATTGAAACTGTTTTAGAGATGAGAACGAAATAAAACATTGGTCGCTTTAGCCAACGCATCTATACCACCTATATGTAAATAGTGTATTTCTGCGGTGAGCCACAAGACGAGTGGTACACAAAAAAGATTCCTTCCTGCTGAAGGCACGTCGACCGTCACTATGTAGAATAGCTCCGGAATCCCAAATATATAATAAATGTCAATTATTCATACATAAACAGTGCGGTTGCTCAAAAGGCCAAGAGAGGATCAGCGTTGCGTGTACGATTCAGGCGATATACCGGATACTTCCTAGAAAAATGCCATTTATTCGAGCCCAATCCCAAACACAACCTATACGAGATCTACAAAAACTGCAACGAGTTGTAGGCAGTGAGCAGGCACTTATAGGCAGGTTCCAAAAGTATATGAAATAGAGTTAGCAGGACTTCATAGGCTATAGCACTTTATGCCATTAAGCTCAAAAGACCAAGAAACCCTTTTCTTTGGTAAATAGTGTATTTCGTCATATATGAAACGGTACTCGACGACAAAAGCTAGGCCGGATAATCAAACCCGTCACACAGCTATTGTATTTGCAACAGTATACATTTTAGTATTTAATATTTTTCTATTGAAACTGCGATAATCTTGGGAATTGTCATGTAGCAGTTGAGACCTTTGTGGTTATAAAAATTGACTTTGTAAGGGCTCCTCTGATTTGTAGGGTACGAGTTCTGAGGCTCATGTTTGTATTTTCCTTTTGATTTCGTATATGCTGGTATTAATCCAATCTATGGTTAAAAAAAATTAATTTCGGCGGTGGCTCAATTATTATATTATTATTTGCCGAAAAGGTTTTTCTTAGCATTAATTTTTGTAGCACCAGAATATTTTGACTAAGGTGAGGTAGAAAATTATAGTATTTTACAAAAATCCAATTATAAAAATAATTTGATCTAATTTTTTTTTATAATAATTAACTTTGCCACATAGCCAAACATGCGGAATTTTGATCGTAGGAAGTGCATACTCTTTAAACATGAACATGCCATATCAAAGCATAGAAGATCATATCGTAGTCATAACTTCGCATCGATGTCTAAATGCCAGTTATCTTGAGTGCCTATTCTGTGAATAATAATAATAATCACTGCATTTATAATGACTACGATGATAACAATAGCAGTTACAATAGCAACTAACATCTCCATTTTAGCTTATTTGTAGTTACAATAGTCGCACAGTTTGTTCCCCATCGGTGCGGAGTCTCTAGTCATTCAGCATTACGATTTTGAGAAAGAAAACACAACATAGCTCCCCGTCATAACTCAAGGTAGGTAACTCCATTTCCGCGATAGCTAACACTTGGGATCCATTGTAGTTTAGGTTTAAAACCATCCGATCGAGTGTCTAAAGACATAAAAAAAAAAAGTCGAAATACAGGTAACGCTGTGTGGTGTTGAAGAACACGCTACAGTTCGAAGAACGTACTGTAATCGCGTTTGGAGGCAGGGTTGAAATTGGGGCGTCAACATTGAAGTTTAAGGCCGTCACCATAGGTAAGATGGATACATTGTCCATTCGAACAATAGTTACAAGCATGAAAAAGCAAATAAATTGTTTCTTAGTAATAAAAATATAATACTGAAAATGAAGGCGGGAAGATTACTGATCAAATGCTATGTTTAGCCCTCAGCTCGCTTTAACGCTGTAATACTTGCGTTTCTACCAGATTATTATTGCTATTACTTAAAATCTCGGTACGTCCAAAACAATTCAGCACAAAAATAAGTCCAATTTTATACTTTCTCCATTAGTTTACCTCGAAGACCTAACGGCCTAAATCGCACAGAACAGTTGCACTTTTGATATCGCTATCATGGCAAAGCGTCGAAAAATGGTCGCCTTGCCAGATACGTCTTTGTGTGCCATGCGTGGCGTACAGCTGAATTTTTTCTAGCCCTCTGGCAGTCGATCTATTGCTTTCGGGGGATCGCTCAATTTTATTTTGTACCTTTGAGGATTGTTATGTTTAGCTCTTACGTTCTTGTATGTTTCGATCTAGCCTAGCTATTTTAGTAAAATTGGCAGCAGCACTGCATTGAAGGTACGGTAATCCATCAACATACAAAATGGCTTCCATGAGCATTATTGTACGCAGATCATCTTCAATGATAAAGGGAAACGTAACCAGGTAATGCGGAGCCATATTTTTTTTTTATATGAAGAAGGGTTTTTTAAAGTAATCCCAATGTAAAAATGTAATTAATAATGTAAAAAATATTGTTTTTCAAAATATTCACTCATTATCGATTCCCACATGCACTTAGCATGTGCACTTAGTTATTTGATAGGATGATACGACTATGTGCACAGATGCTAGACAGATGGCACAGGCGAGTGGCTTGTCACACAAGTATCTTGAATTTTCTGTTCTTTGTGTAGTACATAATGCAGACTGGAGATCCGAAAAACCTCGCGAAATTACATCGTGCGACTGCATGGAAAAGATAGATCTTACATGATCATGGAATAAGCATATATACATAGCGCGAATCAGCTGGCCGGCTGCTAGTTAGAGAATATAACCAGTGATTCAGCTGCCTAAAAGAATGAATGCCATTAATAAGCCGCCGAAGAAGACGCCGGTTTAATTTTAGTAGGACTAGTCTCAATAGTGCGGGACGGATTGATTTGCTGTGGACATCCAACGCCAAGACTACCGAATCATTGTTAAAAATAAACGAAATCCATCGTAGAAGAACACTTGCCTTAGAAGACATGACCAACTCGCCGATGTTCTAGTTTCATAAATCTAAGATTTTGAATGTAGTAATTAAAGTTCACAATTTTCACCAATGAGAGACAATAGAAACTGTATTTTAGTGCATAAACGTGGCCTGTTGTTGTTGTGCAGGGTCGAGAACTTTAGCATTTTGTCTCTACACCACTTAAAATTCTATGAGAAATGTTAGCCGTGATAGTTTCTGTTAATTAGATCATGTCCTAATCAGGCTCTTCGTTGTTTCAGATGTAACACCGACCGCAGTTCGATATATGCTTGCCTTATATTAATCGCGTGAATCTATTTTCGTTTGTAACTTTCATTAAATCATTGGCCAACTCCTTATCAGAAATGGCCAAAATTTCCGGCATAAGAGCCCTTTTGAACTATTTTACAGCAGCTGTAGGGTGCACGCACTTCGTCCTTCGTCCACACACGCAACCTCCATATATTCGAAAATTGATAGCGTTCTTTTTCTCGTAAGAGGCATGTGCTGCGTTTTACGTTTTTACGAAGGCCTTTAACGTATTGAAGTCTCAAATTGTGTTTGTCAGCTTCGTGCATAATTACACCCCATCAATTGGTATTGCATATCATTTAATAAGGGAATAATATTACTTATTATTAAACATTATTGGGGCAAAGAGGCCGTTTATTGGTTTTCAAACACCACATTTACAAACACAAAATCAGACTGTGCTCTGTTTAAGAAAGTGTATACATGTGGCGCTTTGCCTCTTTCATTTAATATCTCATAGTGATCTGTACAGTTATACACAAATGTAAATTTCAATACACTATCGTTTCATCTTAGTCGTTGCGTGTTAAAATGAAATATTAGATAATTTTGAAAGTACTATATAAAAAAAAGGTGTTTTTAATTTTTGTGTAGTTCTATGTTTGTTTTTATGGCTATGTTTATCTAGAAGTTTGTAATAACAGCGAGTAACGACTATTGATTCAAAGAGTTTTCTTTTGTACTTTTTAGTTACACTGCGGTTTTCCTATAATGAAGGCTCAGTTGTACGAAGCAGTACGGCGAGCGAATAGTTGGAGCTATTGAATATTTATTAGTTAAAAAAAAAAAAGTTCAGTAGATGCATTTTCGAGAAAATGATGATTTTCGATCAGTGAAAATGCATATGAGTTTGAGATGATTAGGCACAGGTTGGCAAGGGTTTATGATGACAACCTCTATTACCCCTTGCCTGCCTTTATCCTGATTTCATCAGACAGGGATTTAATCTTTTTCTCAAGAAAGATTTTCATTCAAGAAAGGAGCTAGCAATGTTACTTTACGTATTTTAAGTTCACCGAGAAAAATACATTCGATCGAAATTCAGAGACAAACATATGAACTATAACATATGTTTGTCTCTGAAGTGTAATGTCAGGCTACGTTTAAGATAGAAATTAATACGATCTAGATCTTGCTGATATGTTCGATATAGTGGGAGTTATAAAAAGCTTTCTGATGAACAAAATAGGATCTGCTCCGTCATATGCCACATATATGTCCAAGCTTGAGCTAAAAAACAGAAAGACGAATAAGTAAGCGATCAGACTGGCCTTTTTCCGCATAATCGAAAATAATCACAGGAGTAGCCGCGACACTTCAGTGTTAGAGAACCACCATTTCCGAGCTGCACATTCATCTCGAAAGCGTCGGCCTCATGCTTTTTTTATACATTTTACCAAATATGCAATTATTTGCACCAGTTGTAAAAAAAAACACCTTAATTCAATTTTAAAACCATTGTCAAACACATAAAGCGGCAAGATTACTGTTTCGGTATTTAGGTTTCTTTAAAGTGACGACATATAGACTATACAAGGGAATTACTTACTATAATGGCATTCGCTGAGCTCATTAAATACAAAAATAACTGCAGAGGTTGCTTAGGTAATAGCAACCCATT